CGCATTTCTTTCTTCCACCTTGAAAAGATAAACAGGACAAAATATATCTGAAACATGATTAAATTGCAAAGAGCACAACACACAGTTGTCGTGCTATATACCTCCAGATTCTCGATGCTCCCTGTTCCAGCAACACACCGCCTACAATCTGCAAAAATAATCGCTGCCAAAGCTACACTAGGTGATTACATAAAATTCTTCTAAAAAGGCTGAAAAATTAGTTAATCAGAAGAGCCACAATAAAAACTCTACTTACCTTGTCGAAAACAAGTTTCACTTAGGTTTTCTTTTACAGCATTCAGCCCAATACAAGTACGTGCTATACACCAAGGAAATTTTACAAGCATAAAATTATTTGCTATATTCCAATTGTTCCTCTCTCTCTTTCAAATGTATTTTACAGAGGAAATATTCCTCTGGGCCTTTCTAATATCTTTATATATCCGACAGATGAAACTATTTCAGAGATCAATTTTAAAGACTTTGGAATGCAAAAGAAAAGTTGACAATGCTACAAATGACTACATCCAGAGAGTTCTCTTATCCTTAGCTGTCAAGAATGCTCAAAGATTACTGTCAAATTCCCTTCTGGAAAGAAAGGCATATCTTCTCATCTGCATAACAGTCTTTAGACATTTTTAGAGTAAAATCAACTTTCAGTTGAGAAAAGACAATCACGCAAGCATGCCTACGTTTGGATCAGAATCTACACCCATGAAAATCAAAGCCCTCGTTTACTTACATGCTGTACATAAAAAGGAAAAGTTCAAAGGAAACTGCTCCCTCCGGGAGAAGGGATTACATCTATAGTCAGCTGCTGGGAGATGAGGAAGACATGCGTTCTGGAGAGCTCGCTCGCTCGCTCGCTCGCTCTCTCTCATCCCCAGGCAATAAAAAAATTCCAACTGTTCTTCCAAGTCACATTCACAAGGACGTCCTAGCGCCACCAAGCTCTTCCTCCAAAGCTGCACCGGTGACTGGTGGTGGGGAGGGCTCACCCCTGCCTCTGTGCTGCCACCCCATGCTGTGAGCCTGCCTGCTCTGGAAAGACACCAGGTTGTGGCAGACGTGGAGACGACTGAACCATGAGGTGCCACGTCTTAGAGCCAGTTTGAAAAGTAGAAAACAGAAAGCAAGTGGCCTTGCTGTGGGGACTGCTTTGCACACCTCAAGTTCTCAGAACAAGCCCAAAACTCTTTCAATCCTCTCAGGCGAAGAGCACTTGTTTATTCCTTTCAAACTCTAAAGTATTACAATAGCACGTGCTAATTGCTAACAAAACTGGGGTAAAAAAATCCCCCACACTGGAGCGGCTGACAGGGTCACACAAAGAACTGTGACAGTAATAGGCACCCTGCAAGAGAAAGAAGGCAATCAATTACGGCCCATTTGCAGAAATTGCCAGGCTGTCAAGCCCTGGCTACAGCTGTGCTGTGTGGAGCCAGGCCTCATTTGATTTTCAAGGGAAATTATTCCTTATTTCAAGGTCCAGAATTCATATTAGCAAAATACCCCAGACAATCCAGGTTCAGCCACCATCTCATCTGAGAAGTCAATGGCCCCTGAGAAGACTAGCTGGCCCAGAGCAGAGGTGTGGGAAGCAGAGGTGGGTCTTCTCCCTGGAGAGCCAGCCCCACAGTGGGCATCGTAGGGACAGTGCAGGGGGAGGGCTGGGGTCCTGAGAGATCCACTCCCAACACATGCAGAGCACACATCACGGAACGCCCAAATCATCATTTTAAAGGCAGGAGAGGATTGCTTTTAGATACAATCTGAGCTTTCTAGGAGGTTTCTAATATAGAATGGACAAAGTATTTTAATTCTTAGATTTGGAACTTTTTGCAAATATCCATCACAAATATGACTTTTGAAGGTCAATGATTCTTTCTCAAGAAATGAACTGAGTAACCACTATGCATTTTCCTAAGATTTTAAACGTACAGAGATCCACTGTCACACATACATAGATCCTTCCTATTTGAAAAGAGGTGCCCTAATAACTACGGGAGACTCAGAGGGATCTGATGGCAAATGCTCAACATCCTCATGTTTTCTTTGAATAGTTTTTTTTCTCCTTTGGTCTATTTCTTTTTCCTTAAATACAGAGGGAACATGTGTGAGCCAGAGAGAGAGAGAAAAAGAGAGAAAGCATTCCTCCAAGGAGGCATGGTTGTGCCGCAATCCCTTCTTCTCCACTTCTCCATCCTGCCAGGATTTGAGGCGTGTACACGGACACATGCACATACACACATGTGACCCCCCACATGTTTTTCAAGCCTCTGAGATCAGGATTCAATCAGTGGTAGGCCATGTGGGACCCAGTGTACAGTGCTCAACAACTACACTAGGGGACCAGGCCTGTTTTTTTTGGTATTAATTTTCTTATTTGCTTGCTACTTTTCCTATTTTTTTCCCAAAAGGCGAGACTCTCACCAGAGACAAACAGAGCAAGAGAAGAGGAAGCACCACCCTGCCATGTGGCATGGTCACACTGCAGTCCCTTCTCCTCCATGTCTCTCACCTTTCAGGATTCTGGACCTGCAAACACACCCAGAATGTTTCCCAAGCCACAGGATCTAGAACCCAAACCATATGGTCGTCCATGTGGGATCTGGCTGCCCTAACCACTATTCCACGGAACCAGCCTTTCTCTGTTTTAAACAATGAACATTAAAAGCTCAGTTACTCCAATTTCAACCTGAATGACAGCTCTCACTCCTTGTCTAAATCTCTAGCCCATGTTCCATTGTTCACTTTCCAAATGCTTTGAGTAGTTATAACAGATCCATTAAATAAGAGCTGGAAATGGCCTTAGTATGCTAATGTTTTCCATATCTATCTTACTGAATTTTTGAATAATTTTTGGAGGAAAAAACATGTGACTTCCTTCTTAACTTCAATGTGTTATTCAAGCAGATTATAACAGAAAGGAGATCACCACCCCCTCCCCAAGTTGAGTGATCTCCCTCAAGCTGCCACAGTATGCCAGTGGCCCATAGGCACACTCACCTGACACAGGCAGTCAGACGTAGGGAGGGTTTAGGGAATTAATTGCCTTTTTTAAAAAGAGTTCCCCCCCCCCAGGGCACATGCATTCACTAGAGAGAGACAGAGACAGTGAGAGACAGAGACATCCCGGGGGGGGGGGGCGGCGCACACCATAATCCCTTCTGAGATCTTGGTACACAAACATGTGTCCAGTGTGATTTTGAAGTCACCGCATCTGGGACTCAAACCATAGTTGGTCATGTGGGAGTCCAACAACACAACCATTATATCATCTGCTGGTCCCAAGGAATTAGTTGCTTTTAAAAAAAAAAATTACAGAAATAACACATCTCACCTATTTGATGCTCAAGGACCTATTGCTTTGTTAAAAAAAAAAAAAAGAAAGAAAGAAAAAGATGAATAATAGCTAAGCTATTGGATTCCCAAAGTCAATTACTCACCAGAGACGAAACAAAGCAGTAAGGCTAAAACTACTGATGGTTTCAGTTTCATATAGGAAATTGCCTGGGGCATAACCAGGCTGGTGGACACAGTGTGGAAGGAACTAGGTAGGAGGGAGACAGTTGGAGGAAGTAGACAGGGAATGGAGTGGAGCTCAGGGAGTAAGGATGGAAAGGGAGACGAGAGGAGAAGCTGAGTGCTTACGACCATTCACTGACCCATCCCCACAGTGGACGCCACCCATCCCCAAACAGTGTACCTCATGGCTACTCGCCAAGGGGCCAGCTCCTGATAGGACACACAAGACCCAAATTTGGCACTGTCCTGCT